TGACCTGTGTCTTCCCTGATCCAGTCTCATGGCTTGTCTGGTCCCATCCCCAGGCCCTTTGCCCTTGGTGCCTCTTCTGACACCTACTGTGCTGTGACCACCCACCTTTCTCCCTCTGCTGGGAGTTCACCTCCCTCCTGCCAGAGCCCCAGGTCAGAGCCTTTCTGTGTGTGTGGGCTGGTGAGGGACCCCTGTAGATGGAGGGAAGCCTTGAGTTGTAAGCAGGTATTTGGTTATCAGCCCTGCCTGGGGCTCTGCAGCTGCTGAGACTCTAGGGGAGGCTGCCAAACCCAGAACTCCAGAAGGCCAGAGCAGGCATGCTCTGCCCTGCTCCCAGACTTCAGAAAAGGGTTCTCTTACTTCATCAGCAATGCCAGGCCAACAGAGGCTTAGCCCAAGTGGGGAACAGAAACCATCCCCGCTCCTGTCTTGTTTCCAGATTCTTCTCCCTCTTCCCAAGGCCCTTGGGTGAAGTGGGGACAGGGAGCAGAGGAATGAGCAATATTTCTGTAGTGTCTAAATCCCTGTCCTAACCTTGCTTTCTCACAACTTTAATTTCAAAGAAAGGTATGTGCTGCCTTTGTTCTCTGACTTGTCTGGACTGGAGAAGGCCTCCAGGATGCCCAAATGCATGGGGAGGGCGGGGGTTTCCCCACCAGCAAGCCTCTGCTTCCAAACCTTCTAAAACCAAGCCTGGCTGGAGTTCTTTCACCTGGGGCAATTTGGGCTTTTTTTTTTTTTTTTTACTCAGAAATAAAAAAGCCATTGTGAACTCCTCCTGAGGGCAAAAGAAACCTAACACAGGAGCTCAGAGTGTCCTTCAGAGTAAGGAGGATGGGCAAAGCTTGCCTTCTTCCTTTAGCTGATGAGTGCCCAGAGGAAGACTAGACACTGATTCCTTCCTCAATATCTCACCCTTTATGCACTTGGGTCATAAATTCACAGCAGCAACAATCACCTCCAAGGGAACTTCTCAGAGGGCCCAGTTAACTCATGGTCAGGCACCGTGCCAAATGCCAGAGCTACAGTAAACAAAACAGCTCTTGCCCAGAAGAGGTTCAAAGTCTATTAGGGTAGACAGACATTTCAAAAACAAATCCTTGCCACTGAGAAGCACTGTGCGCAAAGCACAGAAAGGCAACAACCCAGTTCTCAGGGGGAGAAGGCTTCCCAGAGATGGTGACACATAAGGGCACTTTTTAAAAAAATAACAATTTTGATTATTTTTAATAAAAATGACACTTGAGGAACTTCCGCCAAGATGGAGGTATAGGTGGATGTGCCGTGCCTTCTCACATAACCAAGTTTAGGGACAACTAAATATTAGCATCAGAAAACACAACCAGAACATGGAAAATTGAACTTTTCGGAAGTCCGTAAACAAATTCTTCAGCCCGACCGGTAAGGGGCGAAATCGGCGTCTGGTGAGGGGTTGCACAGGAGGACTGGTCAGACGGACCCAGGCGCGGAATCCAGACGTGCGAATCCAGACACACGGGTTCCAAACGCAGGATTGGACTTAGTGAGCGACCGAGCAACCCACCAGGTGAGCGACTGCAGAGGAGACAGTGGGGAGGCGGTGCTGCGTGTTGACTGCGGTCGCCCATTTGCGCGAGAGCGGACAGGCGAGGGAGTGGGCGGTTGGACCGGGGCCCAGCGTCCCCGCAGCTAGCAGCGGTAGAGGGTGCCGCCATTTCCCCGCTCTGACCACGCCCCCACATACAGCGTCACAAACCAGCGACCTGGGAGTCCAAGGCGCCGCTTCTCTCACTTAAAGGGCCAGAACAGACCAAAAATGTCGCAAGAAGACCTCCAAGCCCCAGAGATAAATCTAAGCGACGAAGAAATAGCAAAACTCTCAGACACACAGTTTAAAACACTGGTCATCAGGATCCTCATAGATCTGGTTGATTATAGCCACAAATTAGAGAAACATATGAAGGCTAAACTAATGGAAATGAATGGAATTCCACAGAAAAGCAATAGTGATGAAAAGGAAACTGGGACTCAAATCAATGGAGTGGACCAGAAGAAAGCAAATAATGGCCAAACAGAAAAGAGTCAAGGAGCAAGAATTCAAAGAAATGAGGAGAGTTTTAGGAACCTCCAGGACATCTTTAAACGCTCCAATATCCGAATTATAGGGGTACCAGAAGGGGGAAAGGCACAGCCACCAGTGGAAAACTTATTTGAACAAATAATAAAAGAAAATTTCCCCAATCTGGCAAAGGAAATAGACTTCCAAGAAATCCAAGAAGCTCAGAGAGTCCCAAAAAAGTTGGACTCAAGAAGAAACACACCAAGGCACATCATAATTACATTAGCCAAAATTAAAATGAAGGAGAGAATCCTAGAAGCAGCAAGAGCTAAGGGGACAATCACCTACAAAGGAGTCCCCATCAGACTGTCAGCAGATTTCTCAAAAGAGACCTTCCAGGCAAGAAGGGGCTGGAAAGAAATATTCCAAGTCATGAAATCTAAAGACCTACAACCAAGATTGCTCTATCCAGCAAAACTTTCATTTAGAATGGAAGGACAGATAAGGTGCTTCTCAGATAAGATCAAATTCAAGGAGTTCATCATCACCAAGCCCCTATTATATGAAATGTTAAAGGGACTTATCTAAGAAAAAGAAGTTAAAGAAACATGAACAGTGAAAGGACAACAAACTCACAGTTATTAACAACCACACCTAAAATGAAAGCAAACTAAAAGGACAGCTAGATCAGGAGTGGAAACATAGAAATGAAGATCTCAAGGAGGGTTAGCAACAGGGGAGTGGGAGGAGGAGATGGGGGGAGAAGGTACAGAAAATAAGTAGCATAGACAGTAGATAGAAAATAGATGGGGGGCAAGAATAGCATGGGAAATATAGAACCTAAAGGACTTGAGACACATGGACATAAACTAAAGGGGGGTAATGGTGGGGATGGGGGGGCAGGGGGGAGGGGAATGAAGGGGGGAATAGAACAACTGTAACAGCATAATCAAATTAAAAAAATAAAAATAAAAAATAAAAATGACACTTGATCTTTGTAATAATTCAAGCAATAAGTGTGCAAATTGCTTTTTTAGTAACAAAATACCTCAAGCCCCAAACCCACAAATAAATACCTCAAACCCAGAAAACAAAATACGTCAAGCCCCAAAGCCAGTATAAACTCTTAAAATGTGGTTCTATTGAAATTTTACTAGGAAAAAAAAGAAACTGCCATTAAAATGAAGAAATTTGTCATTCGAAGGCCCCAAGTACAAAAGTGACAGTGAGCTGGGTCTGCCTGGAATGTAGAATCCTGCAAGAGGGTGGCCAGCCAAGGCTGACCCACTGCATGAGAACAGGGACCACGGTGTCCATTTTATGTGCAAAGCCAGTGCACAATGTCATGTAATGGGGGACGTCCCATAAATGTGTGCTTAAAGAATAAAGTAGCAGCCTGGTGGGTGCGGTTCTGTTGGTGGGAGCATCATCCTGTAGGCCAAAAGCTTTCTTGCAGGTTTGATTCCTGGTCAGGGAACATACCCAGGCTGTGGGTTCAATCCATGGTCAGGACACCTACAAGAAAGCAACCAATTGATGTTTATTTATCACATTGATGTTTCTCTCCTTCTGTCTCTCTTTTCTCTCTCTCCCTCCCTCTCTCTCTAAAGAGCAATGAAAAAGTGTCCTCAGGTGAGGATTAAAACAAAGAAAAAAGAATAAAGTAGCACACAGGAGGTAGGTAAACTAAGAATCAAAAGAGGAAGGCAAAGGGGCCAGTCCATTAAATATTTATAAAGGAATGAGCCTAATGCATTTTGAGATAATAATATACTAGCAGCCCCCATTTAATGAACGCTTGCATATGCCAAATGCAAGGCCAGGCATTTTTCATTGTAAGCCCAATTACAACAGTTTTATCTAAGTACTATTATTATTGTCATTTTACACCCTAAAAATACAAGAGGGACCTGCCCTACAAGACCTACCTACAAGATCATCCAAGTAATAATTAAAAATCTTAATTCACAGTGATACTCAACACAGTGCTTCTCTTTACAAAGAAGATTCTGAGAGGTTTTTGGTGCTAGTTACTTGTTAAGGTAATGTGTAGCCCCTCCCCCTCAAGAAGCTTTGCTCACTCAGGTGCATAAGCTCTATTAAAAACAAATCTTAATACTGTTACAGAACAAAATTCAACTGAGGCAATGTGAAGATCTAATTGGCTTTATTAAGCGATTCCTGCACCAGGCAGCATCCCGTCCAGCAGATGGAAGGGTGCTCTAAGGGGCTGTACAAAATGAAAGGTTTTTTTTTTTAATAGGAAGAAGGGTGGGGCAGGGGAGTTATTAGCCAAAAAAAAAGGATTACTTTTAAACTAGAACACCTTCTTTTGGAGAAACAAGGGTCTTTTATCGTGTGCATTATTTCTTTTCCTTTGGGGGCGGGGACAGAGACAGGCCACGTGACAGGTTACCTTATAGGTGATTGGCCAGAAAATTCCACTGGTTGATTAAGATATTTCTTGGAGAAGTTGAAACTGCAATTCAATTAAATTAAGTCTAATGTTGATATCATGGGCTTTAGCTCAAGTGACACCATTTTGGGCCTATCGTTTTCTCTTTAACAATACTTTAGAATCATATGTCACATCCAACCCCTAAAATCATTAACGTGGTTAAAGGGAAACACCAGAGCAATTAGTTTAAAACATCTACCCTGTTTCCCAGGAATGAGTAGTTTTCTTTCACTATTACGGTAAATAACTTCAGACCCCTGTTTTGTGTTTTAACTTGGTTTAAATGATTTGCGTACTGTGGGGAGGGAAAACAGCAGAGTGAAAGGGTGCAGCCAGACCTTGGGAACCTGACCTAAGTCTTTGGCCTGGGAACTTCCTTTGAGTGGGCTGTTTCCCTTCACTGTGAGGCAGGAGAGAATCAGAAGATCGGAGGCAAGATTAGTCTGACTCAGGCAGCCTGAGTAGATAAGAGATGGTCACATGCAAGAGGAAGTTCTTCAAAAAATGTTTTTTTTAAGTAGTAGTCAGGGTTCTGAGGTTTGGTTCTATCTGCCTGTCCTGTGTCCTATATATCATCTTTTAAGTTGCCGGTTTACAACGGTCCCCTCTGGGCATCAGTAGCTCAGGACAGGCCTGGGGAGCCTCTCTTCCAATAGTCCCAGCCACAAACTGGAGCCATGGATCTTTTTCCCGTGAGGAGTCCTCATTCTCACTAAGTCCTGATCCAAAGGAAAAGTGAACAGAAACCCAGATTCCAGCTCTAGAACCAACTGCCTCTGAGCCATCTCTGCTTTTTGCCAGGTAAGGCGAATAGGGGGGAGGGGTGACAGTGAGGAGCTGGAATAGCGGGACTGGGGAGAGCCTTAGGGGGTGCCTCCCCTGGGGGCCTGTGAGACCACCCATAGGGCAAGGGCTGACAGCTCCAGAAGAGATGGGAGAGAGGCATGGTGATGGGGCCCTGGCTGCCTTCCTTGCCATTTACCTGGGCATCTATTTCCTTGTGGAGAGTGAAGTCAGAGGCTCTTCTTCACACCCGCATAATAGTCTCAGTGACCCCTTCTCTTTGGACTCTCCTAAGATGCAAATAGATACTTGGAAGATTGGTAAGAGGAAGAGGGTATGAGAGTTAGAAACAATTCTGGAACAATCCTCAAACTTTGGGACTCTTTAGGTAAACAAATGAGATAAACTATTTGGTTTCCGAGACTGGTGTGCAGAAAGCAGGACTGGATCCATCTTCTCCAGAAGAGCCCCAGAGAGAAAAACCACTGAGGGCAGGCCTTTAGGGGATGGGAGAAGAGAGAGGGTAGAAATCGCCTCCAGGGTTCCTGCTAACCCAGCATCAGCTCATTCTGGGGTAATGCCCAGAAGAGAGGTTCTCAAAATGTTGAAACACAGGTTAGCTCCATCAAAATCACATGGGCAACATTTATGAAGACGACCTTTCTACCCTCTGCCCACGACTCAGCATCAGGTATCAGAGATCTGCATTTGTATCTAAAAAGCACCCTCCAGTACTCCTTAGAACTGCTTAGAAAGAAATTATAAACCTGGAGGCTTATAAAACACTAACACCTCAGAAATCCAGGGTGAACAATCACAAATGTCCTGCCACCCTGCCCCTCGTTAATGCCACTCCCCACAGACCACAGGGCACCTGGCTAATCCAGGGAGCAGTGCAGTTGTGTTTTCTTCTACATCATGAAGATCCGGGCAGCATTTCCTGTGCCCTGTGCTTCATTAGCACATTGGTGGTGCTGCTTCCTGTCGTTGACTCTCTGTTTCCATTCTCTCTGCTTTGGGGGTTGGGGAAGATGAGCTTCTCACAGAGCCTCTGGCCTCTTGGCAGTTTCCACCTCTGAGCTCCTGACACTGCCACCAGAAAGCAGAGATGCCGCTTCCGGCTTCCACCTGATTCACCATTCAGGAGCCCCACACCCAGGTAAGCTCTGCCCTCCTTCAGTGGGCATTGTAGCCACATGCAGGTAGAACCAAACCTGTTGTTTTTGTATTTAGGGTCAACTCAGCCTGACATTTCAGGGGTAAATACAAAATAAGGAGTTTGTTGGGGGAAAGAAAATGCTAGAAGGAAAGATTGAAAGTTTAAAAACCAACAGACATTTTTGTCTCTGTGTGAGGGACTTTGGTGAATAAAGCTTTAAGAAGAAGAAATTTTGAGAGTAAAATGTTCTGCATTGGGGAGTGTTTGGAAGACTTGGAGACCAGGAGGATTTCTGTCATTACCTATGGCGGGGAGTGGGGTGGAGGGGTGGTTCCTACCACAAAGAGTTATATGTAAAATACAAACTAATTTTGCCTTTTCTCCTGGGAGTCAGCAGCTTAGGAAAATCCAGGAAAAGTGGCAGCCATGCTGGCTAGCTGACTGTGATTAGAGGCTTACAAGGAGAGGCCGAAACCAGAGTTCCTGTGACAATGGATGTCATCACCCCAACCCTTTCTCAAATCAGAGAGAGGACTTCGGAGCCTGGCACTCTGCAGGTAACTCTCGGCAGGCTGGACAGGTGAGTGGCTCTGGGTGGTGACCTGCACCCTTCCCAAAATTACAGAGGGCCCTGGTCTACCATGGAAGGTTGCCACCCCTCACAACCAGGCTCAGGTCCGCTGAGACCACCAGACTCTAGGCTCAGAGACATTTGCTCAGAACTGCTCAGAGGGAAGGAATAGATGTTGAGGAGAAAAAGGACAGGAAATGTGTGACAGTGCAGAATTTACTTAGAGCCAGCTGCCTGGCCTGGTTGGATTTCTCACCTCTCGCTGGGCCTGATCTCTGTCCTCAATCTTTCCCATCTCAAGTGCCTCCACTGCTCCTCAGAAAAGTACTAGGTCCCACTGTGATGAAAATAAAAGGCTCACTTTTCCCAAAGATGTGTTTTTAGGTCCTAAAAACTTGCTATGAATGAAAAATGTAATCATGGATATGATAAAGATATGTCTTTGGGACATAAAATCTCATAAAACTAATCGCCAATATCAATTGCATGCTCTATCTTTACTTTCAATATCTTCCTAACAAAATTAAAAGTCCATCAGCAGTCAAAACTTTAGGAACACTGGTAAGTATACCTTTCACTGCTATGATAACAGCACAACTCAACGATAATTATTTAAAATCAAAATCACTGTACTTTGGGAAATAAATGTTATTACCATGACAAACACATGTCTCTTGCAGGTGGACAGGAACACTGATGGGGAATGAATTCATAAAGTCAGAACCCTGGATTTCCACTCCCTCCAAAGAAAACAGTTTTTGTATTTATTCATTTGTTTATGAATTCACTCAATCATTTAACAAATATTCATCAGGCCCTTACTATTCCAGGTACCAAATGAACATAATAGACAAGTCCATGACTTCCTGGAGCTTATATTCAAATGGTAGGGTCAGATATAAACAGATAAACAAATGAATGTATAATATAATGTCAGTCATAAACCCTATGAAGAAAAACCAAAGCAGAGTAAGGGAACTGAGAATAAGGTGTTTGAGGAGGTGACATTTCAGAAGAGTCCTGAGTTAAATGAGGAACCCAACCATGCAGACAGCTAGGAGAGAGCAGAAGGTCCGAGATAGGACTGTGCTTTGCATGGGCAGGAACAGCAAGGAATTCTGGCAGTCAAAGTCAGAGGGAAAGTGGGAGGAAAGGAAGTAGGAGGTAGGAAGAGGCCAGAACATGTGATGTGAGGTCCTCACTGGGTTGGGACTATGGATGTTATCCCAGGTGTGATAAGTCATGGAGGGGCACAATCTGATTTACTGTTTAGAGGATCATACTGGCTCATGTGTGAAGATAATATGTTGGGGCTGAGAGTGAAAGCAAAAAGACCGGTTAGGAAGGTTATTGCAAAGGCTGATGTGGAACACGCGGTGGCTTAGGCCAGGTGGCAGCAGTGGAGGGCTGAGAGGTAACTGGGTTTGGGATAGACGCCCAGCATTGAACAACAGAATTTACTGGTTGAGTAGGAGTGGATGTGAAGGAAAGAGAGCAGTCAGGGATGATTTCAGATAGAACTACTGGATGATGGGAAACACCAGAGGAGGGGCAGGCTTATGGGAGGAGAACTGAAGTTATTTCAGACAGATTTGGTTTGAGATACCTGTTAGGCAGCCTTGTGGAAATGCCCAGTATAACGTTGGATAAACAAGACTAGAGAACTCAGGAGAACAAAAACCTTCCCTGGTAGATGACCTGGTTTCTAATATTTGGGGGTGTGCCAGGTGTGCTAGTGGTTCCTTCTGTAATCTCAAATGGTTGCTTGCTGTTAAAACAGGCAATAAAGAGCACTAACCCCATCCCTGCCGGGAAACTGCAAGTGGCATGGAACTTACTCACTGCATTTGTGTTGGTTAAATTCCACAGGACAGAGTGTTGCTCAGAGACCAGCTTCACAAGTTGGGGCTGTGAAGAACACTCAAGAGTACACAAGCTGGACTGTGTCACAGCTGCCACTCCCTAATTGTAAATTGGGTAATCCTTTCCTCCTTGAAAGACAGGGAGCCTAGGTCTGGAACAAGGGTAAGCAAGGGCAAATGAACTTGCTTTTGCAAGTTTGGAGGCCAATGTGATGCAGTGAAAAGAGCATGACCTTTGGGCCCAAACATTCCATCTTTGATCCTTCCCACCTGTGTGATGTTTGATATGTTACTTTACCTGAGTCTAAATCTCAGTTTCTGGGGCCACAACGAGAGAGGCAGGATTGTTCTAAAGATTAAATAAGTTTCACATTTAAAATCCTGGCATCCAATAAGCATTCACACAGGACAGTTCCTTCTCCTGTATCCAATTTCCCTCTGTCCACAAAGAGATGACCCTCTCTCACCACAGCTCACCCCAGCTCAGCCTTTTTTCACCAGGCTCCCACGGCAAATCCTCAGGCTCTAACTCCTGAGGGAAGCATCTTTTGCAACCTCTCCATCCTCCCTGGCGGGGGCATGACACTCAGTTTCCTCACAGAGATAAAGACCAGAGCAGCAGCATCATTTCTGGGTCTGCGGGGCTCCTCACCATCCTCCTAGTCATTGCAGTTCTCTGCATCCTGTGGAACTGGAATAAATGGAAGAAGCGTGAGTCCTCTGTTTGTCCAAAGTTCAGACAGGCTATGACCAACAATCTAGCCTGGCATTTTAAGCCCAGTTTCTTCTCCATGGATAAACTACTGCACCAAGGAGTCCTCTGTTCTTCTCTGACATGCTAGTCATTGTCTCCCTCAAGATCTTAAGCTGTGGATCCAAAAGGCTGAGTGCTGATTGGAGTTCTGTTCTGAAAGTCTTTGTACATTGATCTAGTACCCCTGGGCCCTTGTTTTCTTTCTGCCATTGAGTTCCCTGTTCTTACAGCTCAAATGGAATTTGTCAAGTCTGAAGTGAACTTTTTATGATGCAGGGTGCGGGTGGGGAACACTTTTGGGTACCATGTCATCCCCAAGAAGCCCCACCTCTCTCATTGCCATGCAGGGCGAGATCCTTACCTGCGAGTTACCAACATGTTCTTCCTGACTCTGCTTCGATCCAGTCAACGAGCCAAAAATATTTATGACCTCTTGCCCTGGACACAAGAAGAGCTAGGTAGGTTCCTCTTTCTAATCAATAGTCAAGACATATGGGACTTCTACCCGCAAAATGCAACTCTCACCACCTGGAAGCAACTTTCTCTCAACTTCCAGAACTTTCTGCCTTTCAGTCAGGAAGCATGGAGAACAATGGGATAGATACACTTTAAGATGCTAATCCAGTGGGGAGCCTATAAAGCTCTAAAAAGGGAACAGGGGGTTGTCTGGGTTTGGAATTTGGTTTTTTCCTGATGTTAAGGTAGCAGAGGATGCTGCTACCTTAACAGATGAGTGTGTACAGGGATGAAGAAGGCCTTTCCAAGAAGAACATGGCTGCCAGCATTATAGGCAGGAGGGGTTCACATCAGGAGCTTCCCTCCCAACCCCCCACCCCTGTGCTCATGTTCTCTGGTATTGCAGGGCTGACAATGTTGCCAGGTCTCAGACTGCATCATCCTTATAGCTTTGACCCTCTCAACAGAGAATGCCAGCCCCCAAGCACCACTATGTAGGGAGACTGCAGGCTGAAGCTAGACTGGCTAACTAGCATCAGGATTTGTTCTCTGTCCTTTCAGGGAGACATCATTCGAGGAGTATCCGTATATTCAGTACCGAGAGCCTCTTCTCCAGAAATTCTGACAGACCTTGCTCTGAGCATGTGGTAAGAGTCACACGAAATGACCAGCCCTTTGGGGGAAAATTACTTGTCTGTGGCAGAAGGACTCAGGTGAAAGAGTTGTAGGTCCCAGATCTTGTGTCACTGCAAACAAACAGCATGTCCATTGGCACTCATCCTTATGGGCCTATTAATAAGTCAGAAGATCAGCCTCAGGACCTCCCTACCAGCCATGGATAAGAATTAAATTAAAAAAGATATGAGAAAGTGCTTGGGATTTTAAGAAGGGCACCAGGACCCTGGCTGGTATGGCTCAGTTGGTTAGAACATTTGACTTCAGGTCAGGGCACATACCTAGGTTGGAGGTCTGATACTCTGAGTACGCACGAGAGACAACCGATCAATGTTTCTCTAGCATCAATGTTTCTCTCTCTCTTCTTCTCTCCCTCTTCTCTCTCTAAAAGCAATGAAAAGAAAATGTCCTTGTGTGGGGGTGAAAAAAAAAAAACAGAAGGGCACCAGGGCAGGAGTCCTCCAGGACAGGATGTTAGAACCTCCAAGGGTTCTTTTGACAAAGACATGATACTTATTCAAATCAGTATGGTCCTCTTCAAAGCAATTGCCTCAGGAGAGTCACAGATATCCCAACATTGCTATTGGTCCTCAAAACAGATTTAAAACCCTGTTTTAGGAATTACTTCTGGGGCTTATGTCAAATTATTTTAATTATACTCAACAGCAGAAATAGTCATAGGTCATTGAGCACTATAGCTAGAGTAGGATGTGTTTGATCACAAGGGGACTCCTTTGAGGTTACAAAGAGAGTATTACAACTGATAACAATAGCCCCACTGCCTTCTGCTGTGGCTCTGCCTGGTAGCCCCCATGAAGATCCACACAGCTGGGGCAGAGGCCCAGGGACAACCGAGGGACCGCTTCACTTGTTAAAGAACCAGTCGCTTTGGTTTTATAGTCATCTTGAGTAAATGCAGTCCTGCTGCTGATGGTGATTCTGTTGTTACCCAGCCTCTCTTTACCATGTGGCAACCTCCATGTCACCACCTTTGCTTCCTCCTCCTTCTGTATGTCCCATCTTTGGACTCCACTGACGCGTGGCAGGGAAAAGGAAAGCCCTCCGCCAAGCCTAGTTCCAGGACTTGGTGGGTCCTGAGGGAGTTCTGCATGTAGAGCTTGGATCCCAAACCGACTTCAGTCCACAAATAAAATATGGTTAGCTTAGACTCTGTAGTGTTTGAAGAACATTTGAGCCAGTTGCCAACATTTAAAAATTTTAAAGCTTTCACATTAAAGTCCAGATGCCCACTTTTCTTGAAAATTCAGAAGTTCTGGAAACATTAGACCAGCATCCCTAATGGCCATAATCAGCTGCCTCTTTAATAATAACAACAAATATTTTAGTATTTTCTCTGTGCCAGGAGAAATTCTAAAAACTTCACGCATAGACCCATTTACTCCTCACAGAAACTTTAAAATATAATTATAATAGGCATTATAATTCTCTCCATTTTATAAGTTAGGAAACTAAAGCACAGAGAATTTAGGTAACTTGCCCAGACTCAGGACAGAGTGGTGAGGCCAGGATTTGCACCCTCAGTCTGAGCCTGTCTTTACCCTAATGCCGAGTGCCCTACTGCCCTTCAGTGCGCTCTGAGGTGGCAGGCTCTCTCCAGTTCGCAACATTTCCCTCCACCCCCCATCGAAACCTCACATTGTAACCAAAAAACACTTTCAATTTATCATCACATTTACACGGTTGCTTTCCCTAAACTCAGTCCATTTTGTTCATACTTTCCTACCATCTAAAGCCTTGCACTGAGAGACCCCTGATTGAGAGCTATTCTCCACGATGGAGAACTGAGTGAAGGAACAATCAGATAACAGTCCTGGGTGAGAAGAAGAAAAGCTTTGTCCATGTTTCTGCTTCTATCCTGTCACTGGCTTTCTCTTCTTGCTCATAGCCCTCCCAAGCAGGCAATGTCCTCCGGGTGCACAGGGCCCAGACTCACACTGTGCGAATCTATGACAATGCCACCTGGCCCCAGATGTGTGAGAACCTTACTCCCTCAGCACAGTACGTCAACGTCAGAGCACCTGGAGACCACCCGAGCAACTCTTCAGAGGACTCTATAGATTATGTCAATGTCCCCACAGCAGAAGAGATTGCTGAGACTCTAGCTTCTCCCAACAACCCCCCTGGGAACCTCTTTATGCTTCCAATTGCCCCAGAGCTGGAATTTACTGAGGAAGGAGACAAGGGCTGTATCAATGTCAGTGACTGCACCAGTTTTTGGTCTCTGGGAACTGAGAATAATGATCCACTCAGTGATGAGGAAGGTTCTTCTCAGACCTCAGATGACTATGTCAACATGGCAAAGCTGGATCTTGGGGCTACCCAGGGAAAGCAGCCCTGGGTGTCTTTTCAGTACTCCAGAGATTATGAAAATGTTTCACCAGCAGATCCTAATGGAAGCCAGTGTCAGACAGAAGAAGTGACAACCTCAAACACAAACCACGAAGAGGACAGGACAGATGGTCAAGGGACCCACATTCAATTTGCCATGCAATCAAGGAGGTTCCTGGATTTAGGGGATTACGTGATTTATCAGCCATCTGCACAGAGTGAGGATAGTCAGGTGAAACATGAAGAAGAGATGTCAGATGAGGACTCTAATGACTACAACACTGTGCTTGCTGCCAAGTTGGGAGGCAGGGACTCTGGGCAGGAACCAAACACACAGATACATGGCTCCTTCCTGATTAAGAAAGACCCACCCACCCATCCAGCTGGAAAGCCACACATAGTCTAGCCTGCAGGATCCAGGGGACGGCCCTTGACCATTCTTGTTTCTGTGGATTTATTTGGTTAGGCCAAAAAGAGGCTGAGAAGGAGTAGGGAGCTAAGTGGCTCACAAAAACAGAGGTTTTGGAAAGCCAGGAAAAAAATTATTTTCAAATAGGATACCATTATTTCTCATACTAACCTAAGAATGTTTCCTAAAACTGCAACTTTTACGACTGTTAAGAGATTTTTAAAAAGACATAGAGACAGAGAGAGAAAGAAAGAAAGAAAGAAAGAAAGAAAGAAAGAAAGAAAGAAAGAAAGAAAGAAAGAAAAGAGTACTTCAGTGCACAGTGGAAATATAAAGTAGTCTAAAATTATTATCTTCACTAATACCAGCAAGCTTTAAAGCAAAAATTCAGATTATTTTGTAATCCAGGCAGAGGCCAATAGGAAGGGAGAAGTCAGAGTAGGAGAGGGGGACAGTTTCCACTTTAAAATGAGGATGGACAACCAAAGCTGGAGATGTGGAACAATAGGAACCTCACTCGCTGCTGATGGGATTGCAAAGCATGAGATTCATTTTGGAAAACTACTTGTCAATTTCTCTAAAAATACACTTATATGACCCAGCCATTTCACTATTAGGTATTTACCCAAATGAATTGAAAACTTGTCTTCACACACACAAACCACACATGACTTATAGCAGCTTTATTCACATTTGTCAAAAACTAGAAATAACCCAGATGTCCTTCAACAAGTGAATGGGTAAACTTTGGTATATCTATACAATGACTATCTATACTCAATAGTAAAAAAGAAATGAACTGTCAGTTCATGCAACGACATGGACAAATCTTAAATGCATTTTTCTAAGTTAAAGAAGCTAGACCTAAACCTCTACTTATTGTATGACTCCATTTATACGACATCTGGAAAAGGCAAAACTATAGAGATGAAGAACAGAGTAGTGTTTAGCGAGTTTGAGGAAAGGGGACAGGGAGTTCACTACCAAGAAATTTTTAGGATAATGGAGCTGTTCTATATGGTAATGTGATGGTGCACACATACTCTATGCACCTGTCAAAATGTAAAAAAACAAACTGTATAGCATACAGAGTGACTTTTATTACCTGCAAATTAAAAATATTAACCAGGCTGTCAGGGGAACACATGATGAAATGCAGATCACAATAACTGGATCTGTCTTACAAATATATGATGTAACCTCAGTGAAGAGGGTGAGGAGAAAGAGATGGCCTAATCAACTTTGGAAAATAATGTTTTTACTTGAAACTAAAATGAAGACACAAAGAACTCCAGGAAAGCACTACACTCTAGTTGGTAAATTTGTATTCCACAGGAGTGTAGGTTAGCTACTCTGAAACTACTTCAAGTGTATTACTAAAGTTAAACAAATAAGTAAGTATATTACAGATGAGGATCCACAGGTTTCTTACTGTCAGAGAAAGAAGTAACAAATAAGCAAGTAGCAAAGGCTCCAATTAACTCTGTGGTGCTGGAATAGAGTTGGCAGTACAGTTTGAACTCATGTTTATATATATGAATAGATATAGAAATCAATATAGATGTGTGTATACATAGGTGAATAGTCATACATTTCTTAGCTTTGCCACTAGAAGGCATAGATGTTATGACTCCCCAGTAGCAATGAACACACTTAGCACTCAGAGCTTGACTTCTAAATATAATTTTCCAGTAAACGAAACCAGAGCTCCTTGGAGACAGGACTATTTCTAGGGCTGGAGCAAAGAAAACTAGAAAGGTGGGAAGAAAAAATGAGAGCATGTTCAAAGGAGCCAAATGAAAGAGCTCTCTAAGGCAAAGCTAGAACTATTTGAGAAATAAAAGTAAGTAATTATAAAATAAATTTATAACCCAAAGAATAAAAGAAATATCCATAATTGATATCCATACCAATAGTCAAATAGATAAAATGAGGAAAAAGAATCAGTCTTCCTTACAGATAAATTATAAACAATAAATATAGAAGAAATGAAAGAAAAAGAAAACCACCATTAAGACCACAGAATAATGGCTGGTGGTAAGTCCGGATGAATGTTAAAATTAGTGGGTGACACTTTAGGAGAAATAAAATAGTTTTGTAACCTCAAATACTCTTCCCCCAAATACTACTGTAATAATTTTAACACACATGTCCACAAACTATTTGATACTCCCCCTGGAACTTAATTCCCCTTTCAGTGTGGGCTGGATCTAGTGACAATTTTCTAACAAACAGAATATAGAATGGGGAGAAAAGTAAATTTAGAGTGGAGAAACTTGGCAGACACCATCCTGACCACATGATCAAGGATAACTCACTGGCAGTAAGTCATTTTGCTACTTGACTGAGGAAAAGGGTACTTCACCTCTGTGGTATTCTTTTCAAAAATCTAAAACCCAGTCTTATCATAAGAAAAAAAATCAGAAAACCCAAATTGTATTGTTGTAGACTGCTCTGCCTAGTTTTAGGAATTGTATCTCAATCCCTTGTGGCTAAGGGTGAAAAACAACCTTTGGAATGCCAGCTGCAGGAGACAAAGCTTATCTCTGGTATCAAATCTGCCTCAGTTCCTCCCCCTGCCCCCAAAGCTTGGTCGGAAGTCAATGAAGGGTAAGACCCCTCAAGGTGGGGGGGGGGGCAACCTAAGCCAGACTCAATCACCTGGGAGGCCTTCATGGAAGGACTGGGGCGGGGCGGTGGGGGTGGTGGCTGAGACAGAGAGCAATGGACTCTCGTCCCTGCTTTGACATAGCCCAGGTCCCCATGTTCTCTGGGAGAAGCGCTTCCTGGCTCTAATCTTCTTAAGCCTGAGTACCTGTTGGGGAGAGGTGCAGCTCCTTGCCTTGCTAGAGCATGTCCTGGGGGGAAATCTGGCATCACAAAGACTTCCTGATAAACCTGTGAAATCTGCTCTGCTAAGAGTGCTTTTATTCATATGATAAGGGTCTAAAAGGAAATGAGTATGTCTCCCAAAGTTTCTGCAACTCTCTTCCTGACAGACACTGTCTGATACTAAGCCCTCAGATTTCTTTAAAATGTTATCTACTGTTTATTATTTGCTGCCCTGTATTCCCGTGTATTACAATGCAATAAAAGGCTATGGAGCAGGGGGCTCAGGGCCTTTGTCTCCCCTGAGAAACTGGCCACTGCCTACTCCTAAGCAGATCACATCATGTCTCTGTCATATTCACTTTCATCCATGGCACTCGGGGGGACTCGCGGAGATAGTTGCCCCCACATTGTATGACATCCTACAAATACCAGAGCAGAGCTCTTAAAAGTGCTGTGAAACACAAAGAACAGCTGAGAAATTGTCAGATGGAGGATACTGAGTAAGTGGAGCATGGCACCTTGATTTACTCCTTGGGACAGAAAAAGAACATTAGCAGGAAAAAAAAGTATGGAATTCCCCAAAAGTTACATCTTAGTTCCCAGTAGTATATTAATGTTAGTTTTTCAATTTTGAGGAGTATACCATGGAATGGAAGATGTTAACATTAGGGGAAGATGTGTGAAGGGTATACAGGAACTCTGTACTATCTTTGTAACTCTTCTATAAATGATTTCTAAATAATAATTTTAAAGCATGGATAAAACTGAGAGTAAAGGCAAAAGGATCATCCCACTTAAATAAGTGTGCCTTTGTTTCTTATTCAGCAAAATGGGTGTAATATAAAGCACATGCTTGTGTAATAGTTCTGGGTGTTTGTTTTCTGAATTGTTTTGCTAGCGTACTTGCTCAGTCTCCCCTATCTGCATCCTTTTGCTTGCTGCATCATTAAGTCAAACATACTTTGACTTAAATACAGTTAAGACCTTTGCATTCACCTTGGCCCTTAGTACAGGGACCAAGATAAAGGTAGTTACTGACAATTGTTGACTGATGATGTGGGTTCAGGACACCTATCTGTTGGGGGCTGGGATAAGCCTGAAACAGGCTGATACAATCCGACCTGAAGGTTGCGCCTGAATAACAGGATGCTGCGGTTAGGAGCCATGGAACTCCCCCTCCTGGACATGCGGGTGGCACACCAATCAGTGCCTTGATCACGCGCCCGCCATGCACCCCCCGGCCAATTGCAGGCTAGAGCACGCTTTGAAGCCACCTATCCACTGCACTTCCTCCACTGCCCTCCTCTATATAACTCCCTCCATTTTGAAATAAAATTTGCAGCTTGATCAGAATCCTTTGTCTTGCTGCCATTCTTCGCGCCTCCTGTCCCATCCCCCTTCATCCGTTACAGGTACATCGGCGGACCCCGTTGACTGCCTCGCGGGCCGAGGCAACTGGCGCCCAACGTGGGGCCCCGTTGATCGCCTGTGCGGACCGCTGTCCCCTCCAATCGCAGCGTTTTCGCCCGGCTCACCGCGACCACTCGACCGCGCGCCGGCATTCCCTGAAGACCCCCATTCCCCGACAGCGGCATTTCAAAAGGTAAGACCCAGCCATGAGACAGGCATGCTCACAACATGATTCGTTCGTCGCTCAATTAAAAGAGTCTCTCAAGGTGCGCAAGATAAGAGTTCGTAAAAAAGATTTGAATTCCTTTTTCACTTTCGTTTTTAAAATCTGCCCATAGTTTCCTCAGGAGGGTAGCATTGACTCCCGCGTCTAGCGCCGTGTAGGCAACTGTCTAAATGACTATTATAAGGTTTTTGGCCCTGAGACTATCCCTATAACTGCCTTTGACTATTATAACCTCATAACAGACATCCTTAAAAACCACAATAATTCCCCTGACATACAGCGCCTTTGCAAAGAAGGGCAAAAAATTCTCCGCAATCAATCCCCGGCCCCCTCCAAAGCCCCCTCAGTCCACGGCCTTCCCGATCGTGCTGACTCGCTTTCGCGACCTCCCTCACGAGCGCCTTCAAACTGTCCTTCTGTTTCCATCCGAATAGATGCAGACCCTCAAGTCCCTTCTCTGTACCCTCCCCTTCAGGAGTTCTATTCCTCTGCTCCACCCCTAATTCCCAGGACCTCGGCGACCAGTTAGACCCCTCTGAACAGGCAGAGTTAGAGTACGAGGCCGCTCGCTACAATAATCCCAACTGGCCGCCGCTCGTAGCGGCAGTCCTTCCACCATTCAAACCGCCTCCTTATAGTACCTCTCACGCACCCGCCGCCGCCATTTCGCCTCCAGTGCATAGCGCTTCCGCCATTCCACCCGCGGCGTGCAAGGCACCCACTGCTTTGCCGCTGGCGGCCACCGCCGCACTCACTCCGTTTCCAAAGCCTTTCCTTCAGGAAACCCTCTCTTTCATCCGAGATATCAAAACCATTGCCAATGAACTCTCCGCTCTTACGATCAGTCCCCCTCCCCACGAAACTTTAGCATTCCCTGTTACTAGATCCCAGACTCGCCAGATAAGACCGAGAACGTAGATAGTTCAGCTGCGGCTGCAGCTACCCCCCTTCCTGACAGTGATGACCCCGAAGACTCTGACAGCTCCCCTTCTGATATAGATGAAGCACAGCCCAGTGTAAGAGACACTACGACCCCCAAGCTTATTTTCACACGTATAAAAAACTTAGTCTTAAAACACTAGAAAAAGTCAAAGCTGCTGTAACACACTATGGGCCCACAGCTCCCTTTTCCCTTGCCCTAATTGAAAATCTTAGTGAGCGCTGGCTCACGCCCAATGATTGGTTCTTTCTAGCAAAGGCAGCGCTGAGCAGAGGTGACTTTATTCTTTGGAAAAGCGAATATGAAGACATCGCTAAACAGTTTGTCCAGCGCAATATGCGAAAATCCTCCTCTAAAAATTGGACCATCCTTAAGTTTCTTGGCTCCGCCCTATCAAAGCAATGAGAGACAAGCTCAATTTCCCCCGGACTTTTAACCCAAATCCAGTCCGCGGGTCTTAAAGCATGGAGGCGCCTTCCACAAAAAGGTACCGCAACCACTTCTCTTACAAAAATAAGACAAGGCCCAGATGAGCCATACAGTGATTTTATAAGTCGTTTACAGGAATTAGCTGAGAGGCTCTTTGGCGCGGGTGAAAGTAAAAACGCTTTCGTTAAACACTTAGCTTATGAAAATGCCAACCCCGCTTGCCAAAATGCCATCCGCCCCTATCGCCAAGGAGAGCTCTGTGACTATGTTCGCCTCTGCTCCGGCATCTAATCAAACCCAGGGATAAGCCATACTCCCTGAGGGACTTCTCTCTCCTTTCTATTACAGGAAACAGAACGCACCAAATAAACATCATTTTACTACTCAGAACACTCCCATACCTAAAGACAGACGGAGGACGAGAAGGACCACCCCAAAACCCCTGCCTCGCCCTATTTGGACAACCCTGCGTCTGTAAAGGAAAAGAACTTTCCGAACACCCCCTTTGGGGTGGACTCAACGAATTCTCCCCTACCCCCTTCCCCTCTTAGGACCTTTAGTTTCTATCACCCTCATCCTCTCCTTTGCTCCCTGGATTCTTAGACGTATAACCAACTTAATCAAAGACCAACTTAACAGTGTACTAGGAAGACCTATTCAGGTACACTATCAACAATTAGAAATGCTAGAACATGGAGCGGACTCTGAGCCATACAGCTGCTGGGGTGCTAGCCCACGATTCCTGCCAGGTTCCCCTCCTGCGGGAGCAGCATAACCCTCGAAGATATGCTTCACAGCCAAGTAGCTGTGATAGACACCGCTGGGTGCAAGGCAAAGCACTGCAAGGAGAGGCCTGTACATACGGCCACTTCGAGTCTCCTGAGAGGTAAGCTGACTTGCAAAGAGGTTGGTACCCAACTCCTCTCCTCCCAAAGGTACCCTAAAGCTCAGAATGAGCCCAGGAGGAGTCTGGCCTCTGCCTCCCCCAGCCGGTTAAAGTCTACCCTATCTACATTCTCCTCGCCCTCAAAGCAATAAAAAGGCAAGTCGGCTTGCATAGAGGTCAGCACCCCAACCCTCTCCTCCGAAAAGGGTGCTTCAGAGCTCGGGACGAGCTCAGGAGGAGCCAGACCTCTGCCTCCCCTAGCCGGTTAATGTCCACTCCTCACCTTAAAAATAAAAATAAGAGAGGAGATGTTGGGGGCTGGGATAAGCCTGAAACAGACTGATACAATCCGACCTGAAGGTTGCGCCTGAATAACAGGATGCTGCGGTTAGGAGCCATGGAACTCCCCCTCCTGGACATGCGGGTGGCACACCAATCAGTGCCTTGATCACGCGCCCGCCATGCACCCCCCGGCCAATTGCAGGCTAGAGCACGCTTTAAAGCCACCTATCCACTGCACTTCCTCCACTGCCCTCCTCTATATAACTCCCTCCATTTTGAAATAAAATTTGCAGCTTAATCAGAATCCTTTGTCTTGCTGCCATTCTTCGCGCCTCCTGTCCCATCCCCCTTCATCCGTTACAAGTACATCGGCGGACCCCGTTGACTGCCTCGCGGGCCGAGGCACCTATCTATACCATAAAATGTCAAGGAAGGTTTTACTGTTGTTCAGGAGCCTCCACAGGGTCCTGAAGGGTGCACAAAGTCTAAAGCTGAGTAGTAAAGGTATGAAACAACCCACATTCTGAGGTCACAGTGCCACCAGCTGTTAGGAGTCAGACAGTCCCCAGGGTTTACTGAGGGTGGGAAAATTAGTTCTACCATATACTGCTCTCCCCTATGGTTCATCCCTGCTCCGTGGGAGAGGACCAAAAGTGACAGAGGCTAGCTGTTGAGAAGTATCCTGGTCAGGAAGAGAGGTTATTTCCATTTTCGCTGCCCACACGTGGCCTGGGGTGGTAACCTTCTTCTGCAGAGTGCTTGATGCCCCAGAAAAAGGAGGAAGAAGAGAACATTGCCAGAATTGAGCACAGTTCTGGATCAGCAGCTGGTCACCCACTACTGGGCATAACATGATAAGAGTGCCACCCTAGGATAGTGATTGGGCCTGGGCAATCTTGTTGAGACCACTTCAATAGGTATCAGGCATGGGCCTCAAGGACAAATCTAAAGAGGCCTTACAAGCACTTGCGTGAGTGCTATAAACTGAACATTTGTGTGTCCCCAAAATTCATTATGCTGAAACCTAATCCCAATATGATGATATTTGGAGGTGGGGCTTTGGGAGGTGATTAGGTCACAAATGTGGGGCCTTCATGAATAGGGTTAGTGCCCTAATAAAGGTGGCCTCAGAGAGCCCCCTCACTCTCTACTATGTGTGGACACAGCCAGAAGACAGCTGTCCATGAATCAGGAAGTGGGCTCTCACCAGACACCAAACCTGCTGGCACTTTGAGCTTGGGCTTCCCGGCCTCCAGAACTGTGAGAAATAAACTTTTGTTGTTTAAGTCACCCAGTCTGTGTGGTTTGTTTGTTTGTCTGTTTTTGTTACAGTAGCATGAATGGACTAAAACAGTGGGATAAAGTCAAATTATTCCAGGAGCTACTTCTCCCTCATCTCATGACTGTGGTGTGGATAGATTTCATCAGGGCTCTCCAATTCACCCCATGAGTGGCCAGCATTTAAATTTCTACCAAATAGGGCACCATGTCAATCTGGTGTTGATGGCCAAGGAAGCAACAATAAGCACATAGAGAGGATGACAATCTCACCTGGTCAAGTAAGGAGGGATTTGTATCAAATGCAAGAACAAAAATTTGAACAAAACTGAGTTTTTAAGTATTAGCACAAGAGAATTCTTATAACCAAAGGGAAATGAAAAGTTATGGGATCAAAATAAGTTGTTAAAAAAGATACCATCCAATAGGAAAGGGAAGTTCAAACTACCACAGCTGGGGGGCAAGTCATATTAATACCCCAATAAGCCAGTTACACTTATATACATTCTCCCATTGAGAATGATTAATAAATTATAATTGCCTCATATTAGATAGTTAACTGTTCTGTTTATTTCCTGTTCTGAGAATTTTTGCAAATGAGT